TTCATTCTAAAAGTTTTAGAGAATAGATTAATCCTCCAGAGCAGGTCTATATTTACTACCTCCATCTGCAATCTAGATCTTTTTTGTCCAGCCTATGTTCTTTTTTAGTCGTTCTAAGTTTTAAAAAATATAAAAAAGGGTTACTTTTCTACTACGTAATCAAATAGTTTTTTCGACAATTTTAGGAACTGGAATTTCATCTCCTTTATTTCGAAGAAACTTGATAGTGAAATTTGCTTGTGCCAAAAAAGATCCGTAAACAGAAGATTAGTGTCAATTTAATTTTACTTTTTATCTTCTTTTCAAAATTAGAAAAAGATAAGGAGTAAATTAAATTGAGATCAAATTTAATCTACATTAATAGAAATGAGCTTAAAACCGTAATCACACAGCGATTTTGCGATTGTAATTAGTGATTACCAATTACTTTTAAGCGATTAGAGCAAAACAATCATTGAATTGCTTTACTCTAACTAATTGAAAAGTAATTATCAATCGCTAGTCACAATTGCACAATCTCTAATATGATTACGACTTAAAATGAATTGGGCTCGTTGAGGCTCGTTCCCGTTTGCATTCGGCGCGGGCGATCCGCGCCCGAAATCAAATGCGAAAAATTTCTGAACAGAGAGGGAAGGAGAGATCAAGACGGCGAGACGTTTCCATCGTGCACGCACATCGTGTGTTACGCACGTCGACGATCCGTCGTGTATAACGATATTATAAGTAGTAAGATAAAATATAATATGCGTACACGCGTATTGGCGGGTTTTTGATGATTATAACAACGTATTATATGTACGGCAGGCGATCATCTACATGAGCTACGTACTTGTTTGTACTCCGACAGGATAAGTGTGGCGGCGGGCAAAACTGCCGCCCCGTTATACCTCAGTCTCTCGAATGGGTTCCGCTGGCTAACAAACCACAAATTATAACCATCAGTCTCGGCACTCGCTTTCGTTTTCATCTTCGCTAAAACACTACTTTTTTTTTCTTTCAGCGCACACAACTAGCAGCTGTTTTTTTTTTTGCCGCGGATTGCATCGGCGTTCGCTAATGACCATTTCCATCGCGTTTTCTCCATTTTCATTTCTATTATAACGTATTTTGTGCGTGTGTGATATATGTATATGTGTTTACATGTATGTACGTGAGAGAGAAAAAGAATAGGTGCATGAGTAGATGTTTTATTGTTTCTTTCCCTCCTGTGTGTGTCGCACACGTGTCGACGCATAGATTATCATGTGATGTGATTATCGCACGAATCTCTCATTTTTTAGCGAGTTTTCCTCTTTTTTTCACCGTTTTTCACTGCAATTCTTCTACAGAGATAGAAAAAAGGCGATTTCTCCCTCTCAAGCGAGAGAGAGAGAAAGAAAGAGAAAGAAAGAGAGACAAAGAGAAAGAGTTTCGGATGAGAGATTGAAAAAAGAAAACCGAGCACGACTGGAATCGTGGAACATGTCAAAGTGCACATATCGTAGTCATGATTTGAGTGTTGCATCATTCAAGCAATTCGAGATTCGAGATATTACACATACCGAATGAGAAAAGATCGCTGCTAGTCAGATATTGTGTTTCATGACAAAAGTGAAAAAAAATGCTTATGAAAACTGCTACAGCTTATTTTTTAATTCTCGATCACCGTTAATCTTTACAAAAGGCGGGGGTTTATTTTTAAAATTTTATAGCTTTTCCTTGAGAGATTTTTTAAGATTAGTTATAATTCATTATTTCATTCACTCTGAAAAATAGGTTTTAATTGAATATCACATGATGTTTATATAATTCTCACCATGTTGATGTTAATATTAATATCAACATGGTATGGATTAAAAACTCCTGGTATTTATATCTTTTATCATGGTATGGATTTTAAACTCATGATGTTCAATTCATACCATGTTTGTGTTAATATTAACAATAATATCAATACAGTGTAAACACGTATGATGTTAAATTCACAGAAATATTTTTTAGAGTGTTATATTCTTTGTCTCAAAATATGACACTGTTTCAGTGTCACTATATATAAGGGCTTCTCCGTCCAGTAAAGGTCAAACAATATCCTTGTATTCTTCTTTCGATTCATCAAACGAGCAACATTAAAATAAATATCGCGAAATTAATTGAATGCAAATTAATAAATTCGTTGGACTTCGAGGTATCTAGATATACTCCGGGCTAAAAGTTTGGAAACATTTTTTCAAAAGTGTCAGTGGAGTTCAGCAAGATGTTTATTTTGCTACTGTTGAAAGTTTTCTTCCCGCTGATTGGAGTATACTTTTAGATCTAGAGAAATAGTCTTGTTTCAGTAAAGAAAATTTGCAACAGTTGCAAAATAAACATTCTAAACGCAGCCATTTTTGAGATTACTTACTCAAATATCCGTATATAATAACGCATTTTTCAAAATAATTCTCCATATTCAATAATAGTTATTGGATCTACAGAATTATTCTTCAAAACACAAAATGCAGCTTGTAAGATTCTGTTGTAATTTCTCAGTATGATTTTTGCCCCTCACTCTTTATTACGGGTTAAATGTTTAAAAATCAATCATATTAAAGAATCTTACAATAATTGGAAAGCTACTTTTATCACTGAATGCAGTTATTGTTATGAATATTTGAGTAAATAATCCCAAAAATATCAATTTTTAAAGTTTCTAAACTTTTGGCCTGTGTATCCTCTGAGCGAATTTTTCTCAGAATCGAGCGACTCTTATCGAAAATAGACGGAGCACCAAGACTCACATTCGCTATTGATTCCAGTCGTCCGAGCAAATATTCGCAGAAAATTGGAATCGAGTTTAAAATTTTGGGGAATTGATAGCGCAGATACACGTGTGCTGACGATCATCGTTGATGCGGTTTCGAGTAGCGCGGAAGTAGAGAGAAAATTTCGATGTACCGTCTGTAGAAAGATGTACGGAGAAAAGTAGAGTGTAAGACTCGACAAGCCGAATTCGAGAAACGCGCTATCGAGCGCGCGCTTTCTCACCGTACGAACGCCGTTAGAAAAAAAATTCTTTTCTTTCTTTTTTTTTTTGGCGGAGCGTCGCGCGTTTCCGTGTCCGAGCGAGTTGTGTTTGTCCCTCGCATCGGTACAGAACGCACAATGCAATATATATTGAATATACAGATATATATATATATATACATACACACTGTGCCACGTTAAAGATACGCACAATAATTAAAAAAAAAATACATGTCACACGCGCGCACATCGATATACAACGTACGGTAATAACATCGTACATCACGTGTTAATCATCACAGCAATGCTCACACTGCAATAATTAAAAAAACAAATTAAAGAAATGAGAGAGACAAAAGCAAATGTACACGGCGTGTGTGTAGAGAAGGACCGGCCGACCGAGCGAGTCGTACGCCGGAAATGAAAGAAAAAAGAAAACGATGCTCACACAAGAAAGCGAACACAGATCCAAAACAAAAAAAAGGAGATTTGTCCAGTGTTCCAGTGTGCTTTGATTTCGGCTGTCCCTTGGAACATTAGTTAACATTAACCGGAGCTCAAGTGATCCTCCGTCTCTTCTTGAAGACGGAACCAGAAGCAAAGGCAGAACCTGTAGCAGCTAGGATATAGACATCTGACTGGGAATTACCGAAACCTCAGTCAACCTTAACTAACATTTCTGGGAACAGCGCTGTCGTATCGAGGAAACGGGTAGCACACATTGCGGTGTTATATCGCCATACATCTCTGATCACGTCACTCCGAAAGCTGCGCGGCTCGCTCTTGGCTGTTCGATTCCAAGTCAGTTGACGAGCGCCTTCAAACGCGCCAAAACAAGAACGAAAAAAAAAAAAAAAAAACGCACACAAACACGTACATGCAACATCTTAGTGGAACTGAGGCGGAAAATGAAGAGAAAAAGAAAGGAACAAAAAGAAGACTGGACAAAATGGAGACTGGAAGAGGCAAGGAGGAAAAGATGTGAGAGAAAAGCATGTAAGAAAAAAAGAAATAATTCAGGTAAAAGGAGACAATCGAGAGAAGCGTATGACGGCAGCCAAAACGGTCATAATCATTAACGTATCCATCGAAGTCAAAGTCATCAACGGTGTCTCTCGCGGCAACAAACAACAACAGCCAGTGATGGTTTCCAAACGTGGGCGATGGCCGGCTGCTTTTTTTTCTTTTCTCATTATCACGCGTAAATGGGAGGTGTGTTTTACCGTACATGCGCTCCATTAGCGTCTCGCTTGATAGAGATACAGAGGACAGAGGAGTTGGTGACATTGGGAGAAGCGATATACGATCGGATCGTATACGTACGATCGTATTACGCGACACAGGAGCTACAAGACAAAGACAGAAATTGAAAGAGAAAGAAAGTGAGAGGCTGGTGCGGTGGTGATACAGAAAGAAAAAAAAGAACAAAAAGAGAAAGATACATCAGGAGCGATATAATTAGCTGCCGCAGTGACAATAATCATGGCGATGCAAATTGTTCGACGCCGATATATATATATATACTGGCTGCCGGTTTTCTGGTCTTCTTTTTTTATTTGTGGAGGATAGTTTAGAATCAACCACAAAGACGGGTGTCGCATGTAATAATATATATATGTATATATATAATAAGCACACGGGCGAAAAATATTAATCGAAACTCGCAGTCCGCAAGCACTTACTTGTTAAACAAAATGCAGACATTGTGAGACGTGTGTAGAGAGACAGATAAGTAGTAATAAGTAGTAGAAGAAAGAGAGAGATAGAGATAGAGAAAGATAGAGAACACAAAAGGCAAACTGAAAAAGGTCTGCTTGTAGGAAATCATAATACATGATACATATCGATCAAAAAAGTGTTCGCAAAAAAAAAAGTTAGAATATATCAGAGGAACCAAATAAAGACGATGAAAATATATATGTATAGATAAATATAGAGAGAAACGGTTAATCAGATTATTTAACACGGTCAAACAATGAGCAAACTTGCGGATGATAGTGGACTTGCGGACTAACCATGTAGTAATCCTGAGAAGGGGATCTGCCTGTCACAGATACATTCTGCACCAGAGTTCTATTGCTCGTCTGAAAGTAGGTGACACATCCAGTTTTACATCATTAGCTTCACGTGACATTCCAGGATAATTGTATTTTTTTTTCTTTTTTCTTGTCCTATCTCTTTTCTGTCTTTCTTAAATCATCTGTTCGATTTTCCGTTCTGTTTTTTTTCTTGTTTCCTTTCAGTTTTTTATTTTTTTTATTTTTTATTAAAGCCGTTCTATATTAACGTGTGCTTCGTGATATTGAACACTTAATGACCGTTGACTGTGCGAGACAGATGAAGTTACAGAGAAAAAAGGGGGAAGAGAATGTAAAGAGAATAGAAAGTACGTATAGTGTAGCTATATATAATATATATAATATAAAGTAGAGAAAATTGGTAGAGAGACAGACAGAGAGAGAGAAAGGAAATATAGTATTCGCCGCGATTTCTATGGACTAGAATTTCTTACATACGTTGCGTGCAACTCATCCGTTCTACATTTTATTTATTTATTTTTAAATCGCATCGTGGCTGTAACGGAGCTGCAACGGACTAGCGACAGTCATTTTCTTTGTCGCGCCACAGCCCGAATCCGCCAAAGTGATTGACAATTAGATACATAGATGGATATTTGACATTACTGCAAAAAAATTCGCTGCGCAATCATCGTACAGAGTTTATCGAGTGTTTTTCGGGGATTCTTCGACGAGAAACGGACCGCAATCGTTACCTCTGGCACACGCCTAACTAATAGACTGTCGACCATCGACTAATGTTGCCACCTTGATCGATCGTAACCGTTGCGAAAAATAATTTAGACAGAATACATAAATGCGTGTGAAACGTTTTTATAACTTGGGGATTTGCGACTTTTAATATTAACAGAGACATACCTAACGCGACGCGAACGAACGCACCGTCATTCAGCACCATCTGCTTTAACTTGTGCGACAGAGTAGAGCCTTCCGCTTCAACGTAAAATCGATAGGAATAGCGGGCGGCTAAAGCGGCTAAGGACAATAGCAAAGTGGAATGAATCTTTTACGTATTACGTTCTTGAACCTCGCGCAACAACGAAAGTTTCATTTTGCCGGCTAATTACGAGTAACTGTAGGCGACGGATTTAGATACGTTACGTACGAAGATGGGGAGAGACTACCTACTTTATACGAGTTACCCACGCGAAAGTTACGTAAGAGTCACCCGTTTTAACGGCGAGTGTGGAAAATCATATGGCGAAGTCGATGTGTAAAGACGTCTCTTGCGAGAGAAAGTTCGGCGAAGAAAGTTTACCACGAGGTGCTTACACATGGGTCGATTTCAACATCCTGCTTAACGTCACTCGAATATTCAAAAACAGTGCTTCACGGTGAGAGTATATATAGATATGTACTTTACAAAGACAACAAAGTCTAGAGGGGCGAATCTCCCCCCGGAGTGGGAGTGTCCTGAGTTCATCGATCGGCGAGACATAAACATAGATCACTGGACTTGGAGAAGAGTGGTGCATACTTTCGGGGTTACGGAGACGTGCCCTCCCGAGACGAGGAAACAAGAGCGTATTCTGACATGTAATCTCACGAGGGCTAAAGAAGTGAAATAGAGCATATATCAAGGGAAAAGAGTGGAAAACCGAGCGTAAGAGATATCGGGAACAGGAGAGAAACAAACAGAGAGAAAGAGAGTTAGAGAATAGAGAAAGAAAGAGAGATTGGCTGAGGACTGCGTGGACCACTGCTAAGTTGGTTCTGGCTGTCTGTGGAGAGCTACTGTGGATGCAAGCTGTATGGGATATAAGAACGTATATAATATATATATGTAATATATATGTACGCGCAAATATATATAAGATATATATGTGCTCAGGTCGAAAGTTCGTCGACGCCAGGAAGTAGCATCAGGAGAAACTCGACTCAATCAGAAATCGGTGATATATCCTGATAGTTTCTATTCTCCCTACGCATTGGTCACGACACTCGCGATCTTCTCTGAGGGGTCCTGAGAGAGTACCGCGATTAGGAGAGCTGGGACAAGGCAGAGACGTTTAGATTTACATGTCAAATAAAATAGATCGAAACAAACGATGACTAGATTTTTAAAACTGCACAGTTTTAAAAACCTACATTCTATCTTTACTCCAATCTTATACTGGTCCCACACAGCACACTTTATCCTAAGAACATCCTGGAAACATCCTTAAGATGTAGGACATTCTCTGGATGTTTTTAGGTCTCCGAAGTCTGTGCTATATTGATCCATGAAACACTCTGTTAATTTTCGTTCAACTTGAAGATACGAAAAGAACGTCGAAGGCAAACCTTGTATAACCTTAAGGAAAGAAATGTAGATGCAGGGAAGAAAAATCTCATTCGTGTATCTTCGAATCTAAGAGAATTATCAAAGCGTTCCGGCTATGATTTGCTATTCCGCATACGCGTTTATTTCAACCAGTTGATTTCCCATGCAAATCCCATGGATAAAGACATTACACATCTAGTCCCAACTGTCCTCACGTTGCTCCCATATCGCTGGTATTCGCGTATACGAGGGAGTGAAGATATACGGGCGGAGAACAAGCACTAATTTGTGCGTTTACTAGTAGGTAGGTCTCTATGTGTGTATTGTGTATGTGCGTCAATCCTATCAGTGCGTCGTTCTCGTCGAAGAGTCATGCATGCGCGATCAGTGACGCTGGTCGAGTCATAACGAGTTCAAGTAAAACGTTTCTTTTTTTTATTTCGCGTTATCGTCTCTTGTCTGCCGTTTCTCTACGTTCGGTCCTGTCACCCTAATCGCGGGGCCGATCGACCGGATCCGGTCGATCGGGACCCGCGATCGATTTCCCCTACCTGAGATAATGACATGACAGATTAGACCTAGCTTCTCTTATCGGCGTAGACTTACACACTGAGTTTACTTATTTAGAAATATATATAAATATAAATATGGTATATATGTACATGAATATGTGCACGTGTTGTCCTAATTGGTAAGAGACACACGGTCAGATGTATCGCGTCTCTGAAGGAGTGAGTGAGAGAGAGCAACACCGATCCGAGAATGTAGTTTGTGAAAATCGTGCGTGGCTCTTCGCTCTTCTCCTTCAACCAAAGATCGTTTCCCGCGCGCTTTCAGCGGGCTGTCGAAAGGGCGGTTAACGATCTATTTGGACGCGTTCAATTGTCTATTGAGGCAATCTTATTGCACACGGTCGTCGGTATCATCGAATCGAGTGTGGAAAAACGCGATCGCGGTTCTCTAACGTGGTAATGATGGAACTCAAATGAAAATGCAAACCAAGGTAACGGTCAAAACTGAAACAACTCGTTATTATCGTCGATGGTAATAAATAGAGTGGTAATAGTATATAAGTAGTATAAGTGGATTTATTATATTCTGTATATGTATTTGTTGATAATAAGAAGAAATACGCACACGCATACGTTTTTACGTGCACGAACGTCGAATAATTGCGTGCGCACACTGAAAAAAGCACTAAATTTTAATAAATATTTAAATAGTTCTAAGTGAAAATATTTACCAATGTAGATATATGTATTTATTTGGTACAACAACTTTAGCTACCATTTTTTTATTGAGTAAATACTTATTTATTATAAATAAATGTTTACTTAATACTATTTAGAAAAATACGTATTAAGATTTAGTAAATTTCTTTTTCAGTGCGCTGTTAAAAGAAAGAAACAAAGGTTTCGGTCCACTTGATGCTATTAATGCTTTGAAAGCATTTTTTGATTGGTCAATTGGTAACATTCTTTCTTCTGATTGGTCAATCAAACGCTTCGAAGCATTTCTAGTTAAGTGGATCGCATCCAAAGAAAAGAAAAGAAAAGAAAAGAGTCCTGAGAGTTTAAAAAACGTTAAAGAGGACCGTATGTGACTCGTGTGATCTCGCCACCTGAACCTGTTGGATTCGGGGGCGGTTTTTGTTGAGTTTTCTCATTTATGTTTTCGTGAATAGAACAGGAATCGAGAGAATATTGAATCTTGAGTTGAATGATGAGATAATGAGAGAATGAAAAAGAGAGAGAGAGAGACAGAGTGACAGAGAAAGATAGATAGATAGATAGACAAAGAGAGAGAGAAAAGAGAGATAGGGATAGTTACCTGTGTTTGTAGCCGTGTTAGACCACGGATCCATAGAATTTGTCCTGCGCGCGGCTTTTTATCCGAGTCGGGGTCGAATTTCTCATCTCCTAGATTGATCGCACCGATATCATCCGGCTGGCCGCGGCCCCATCTGTTTTTGAAAAAAACATGAAACCATTTCTTCATCACTCGGATTCTTCCTGTTAATTGAATGGATTAGAGAATGGTGTGGTATTATATTTTATACTGTTAATTTCTTTCTTTTGTTCTTTCTTTTTTTGGGCAGCCGAGACGGAAGTTTCACAATCGACGCTCTCTTCTCGACACGCGCTGCACTCGACACCGTTTTCCCCTCGCTCCTCAGGAAATCCCTAATCTATTTACGATGTGCTAACGCTACGCGGGACTCGATGGTGTAAGTAAAAGAATAGATTTATCAGTGATAAGACCGGGCGAAATAGTGGCCAGGTGCATGTTGTGCGTGTAAATGTGACCAGTGGATTGACTCCTATCATTGGCATGACGGAAAGATGTGATGAAATGCGGAGCATTTGCTAACAGACATATTTGATGACGATACGCTAAGATGATTTTTGTTGACGAAAATTTCGAGACGGGCGTGGTTCTTTAGTTATCTTCCAAATATAGAGTAGATAACATCATAAAGATAACACATAAAGACGTCATTATGATCTTATCTTATATTAATCTTATATTAAGTATCAAGTGAATTTATAAGTGACAAATAAGATTATAATGATGTTCTTACAATATTATTACGACTTCTGTTCTATTTGCATAAATTTAGACTCTCTGGCTAACTCAAAATAATATTTTTCGTCAACAATAAATCAATAATAAGTGGAAAATGGATCAATAATACAAGAGAAAGAATTTTATATTCGATCGAAGCGAATCTTGAATCTTAATAATTTTCAAATACATTTTCAAATACATTTTCTAGAAACTCTATTTTCCAAATTTAGACATTCAACTTTAAAGGAATACTTTAAAGGAAAGATGTACCTAATTAAGCTCACGAGAAGAAATTATTTCAATCTTCGATCAAATAAGCTGTTTAGCGCACACTCCATACGTTAGTAAATAGGGAGATGCATAGTGGGTGCAAATGCAAATATGTCGTGAGCAAAATGTGTTCTATTGTGATACGGTGCAAAAAGTTAGTTAGTCAATTTAAAGAAAAGCGAAACTTTTCTTCGATCGTTATCGACTCAGCCTTCCATGTTATAACCGATAGATTCATGAAGAAATACGAGAAATGAGTGAAAAGAAGAAAAATGAGAAAGAGAGAGAGACAGAGAGAGAGGGGGAAGGAGAGAGAGAGAGAGAGAAAGAAGATATAAGATATAAGAAAGAAGATTACATGTGCGCGAGATGACAGAGAGAATGCATTTTTTTCTTCGCATCCGATGTGTGATACGTTAGTTTTCCCGATTCAAAGCTTTCCTCGAAGATGATACAGATAACATTCTTTTGGGCTTTGATAAGCCGTCACATATCTTTGTTCTACAATGTTATATTAAAGGAGCAATGATAACACTTGAGTTAAATAACATTTTGTTATTTTTAACTTCCATGAATCAAAATGTAACTTCATATGAATCAAAATGTAAAATTAAATAATTTCTATAGTTAATTTCAAAGTAAACAACGTCTATATTAATATATGCACTTAGTAAATAATAAACTGAGTCAAATTTAATATCTATATATTCTTGAGTTAAATTGTTTCACTTCATTGTTTTAGTTAAATTAACATAATGAGTAGGAGCAGTGACGATCTAAAGAAATAATTAAAAATAAACAAAGTAGATTGAAAATAAATTCAAATTGAGTTTAATTTGACGTTATATGAATTTAACAAGTGTGTTAACGTGTTGTGTTTTCGTTTCGTTGACCTGTGTCTTTCTATCTCACGTTCTACGTCATTGATTCGTCTTCTCCATTATTTCTTTTAAGACACGTCAATTTTGCATCAGGTCGCTTTGGCAAAAAGCAGGTGCGATTCTTACCTGTTGAGCGACACACAGGCGGGAAAGGACGCATAGTGCCGATGCGACTACATGCCGCTTATCGTCGCTATTTATAGGCACTCGCACAGGCTCTCTCGTGGAGAACGGCATTCGACGATGGATGGAATGATGTGTCGGGCCAATCCGTAAATTCACGCTATAATTAACGTCCACGTGCGAGGAAAAAAATCAAATAAAGCAACGATAATCTAAAAACGAAGGAATTTATTTACCGCCGAATTATGTTCCATCTCTTTCAAAAATCAATCGGAAATACACGTGAACTCAGAGACCAACCCGACGGGAATTGCTCTTTTCTGTTCTCCATATCTAGCGAGCGCACGTCATCGGTTCTCGCCGTCCTGGACGATGCCAGGATGCGATAGATGCATGTACAATATCATACAATATATCGAAGGGAAATATGTATATCGGGTTTCTGTTCACCTACGAAACGGCACACACACACACACACACACACACACACACACACACACACACCCACCCACA